GTTTCCATAAAATTGGATATAAAACTGAGAAATTTAACCCATTCCCAGTTAGATATATAAGTAAGAAATTTAAAATAATATTGTGGCCATTCGAGATATAACTAATTCCTTACTAAAAATAAAGGAATATAGAATAATATTATTGATTATCCAAGATACATAATTAAGGATTGACATATATAAGTAAATGGATTGTAAATAATATTAGTATTAACCAAAATACATAATATAAGTAAGGTGATGAATAATATACTCGTGATCACAACTTTCAAATTTATTATTATTTAGGATTGTTTCCTAATAATATTTTTGTGTAAATTTTGTTAATCACCATATATATATAAGTAAGGTGATCAATAATATACTCATGGAACTATGAAAGTAAGACATATAAGTAAGGAATCAAGAATAGTATTGGAATTTCCATTAATATATGTACTCTATTAATTTAAACCTATATATACACGAATATCCATTAATAAATCTTTGTAATTTAAAATTAAATATGTAATTTATAAATATGGAAGTAAGATAAAGGATTAATATATGTACCATGGTCTTAAAATTCTATTTAAATTAATGAAATATATTATATTTCTTTTTTATTATTTGAATAGTATTTATATTTCTTTATATTTATTTTTAATTTTTGTATATTATCCTCGTAATAAATTTTCGTATTGTTGTAATCTGAAAACATATATTTACATATAATATTATTGATTATCCAAGATTCATAATTAAGGATTGCCATATATAAGTAAAGAGATCCAAAATAATATTAGTATTATCCAAGATGCATAATATAAGTAAGGTGATGAATAACATACTCATGATCATAAATTACAAAGTTAGTATTATTTAGGATTGTTTCTTAATAAAAAATTTTGAATAAATTTTGTCAATCACCATATATATAAGTAAGGTGATCAATAAAATATACTCATGGCAGTAAGACATATAAGTAAGGAATCAAAAATAATATTGGAATTTCCATTAATATAGGTACTCTATTGATTTAAACCTATATATACACGAATTCCCATTAATAAATCTTCGTAACTTATTAATTTAAGTAAGAAATTTATAAATATGGAAGTAAGATAAAGGATTAATATATGTAGCATGGTCCTAAAATTCTATTCAACTTAAATGAAAATTATTGTAGTTTTTAATTTTTTAAATAGTATTTATAATTTTTCGTATTTATTTTTAATTTTTTATATTATCCTCGATTATCGCGTAGAAAATCCTGCTGTCAATTGGTATCATTCGGAGATCCGCCTGGTGCACTCTGTATATAATTTTCTTTAAATTTTACTCAATTATTACATGGCGCTGACATGTTAAAATTTTTCCAAATAGACATGCCAAATGTCGAATTTCTGTGAATCGGAGTCTCCTTTTTGTTATAGTAAAGGATTTAAATACCCAACTTTGGGTACAATGGGTAAGCATAAAGAAAGAAGGAGAATGAACACTAAGTTGTTTGAAAATGAGTGCAGTCTTGTTTCAGAATGAACATTATATTTTATAGATAAATATTATAATTATATTGAATCTACATTATTTTAGAATGAGTACCACACTAATTATATTTGTGCGAGAATGAATACTACTCTACTTCAGAATGAGTACTATCTAGATGTATCTATTTCTATATACATCTGGTTGTACTATATACTTCCTCAGTGTTTTCCTATACACACCTCCAATTTTATGTTTATCAGTCAAGTCTCACTTTTTAAAAAATTATTCCTCTAGATGCTTCGAATTCAAGTTAACTTAGTGAGTGGGTCACCTCCGTCAATTCATCGGTTAGGAGTGTAAAGTCCATTTACACTAATTAATTAGAAGGTAGGTATTGTACATTATATCCCCCCCCCCCACGAATTCACCTCTTCAAAATCAATGAAAGGTCGTCACCCATTCTTCTTCAAAATAGGTCAAAGGTCTTCACTCTTCTTCTCCTTTGGTATAGGGTTTACTTGTAGAGAGAAGTCAGAGATCGTATATTGAACTAAGTGGATGTACTATCAACCTTTGCCTAAAAGAAGTCATAGTTCTTAAGAGAATTCATAAAAGGAGTAATATACTCGGTGTATCAATTCCTTCATTTGTTTAATATATTCATTTATGTACCCTTTGAATTTTAGCTGCAATCAATGACCTCCTCAAGAAGGATTTTCCACTATGGTGATTGGTTGAACATTCCAACTTGTGAGTGTGGGAAAGAAATGAAAATATTAACTTCATAGAGTGATAAGAACCTGGAAGGATATATTGGCAATGCAATGAAAAAGTAGGTGTAATTATATTTCAATTTTTTTAGATCTTCTCAAACTACTATCTTTAAATTGCTACTGTTTTGTTTGATTGCTACTATCTTTAGGGATATCGTAAATGTGGTAATTGGGAATGGATTGAACCTCCAATGTGCCATCGAGCTATGAAGATCATTCCTGGACTGTTAAAAAGAATCAATTCAAGTGATGAAGATCCTAATGTCTTCAAGAAGCGCCTGCCTTCTTATAAATGGCTAGCAACCCAAGAAGCATGTGCCCTCTTATTATGCTCTTTTGCAAAACACACATGCCTCTCTGTTAAAGTCCTTATCATCCAAGAATGACCATCAATTAATGTAGAAGCATGAATTCTAAAAGAACATTGTTCATTACTGCACACTTGAGTGTATCTTCTTTTGTCATTTTTAACTTTCTTAAGTGTGATTCCTCTCTACATGACATAGTCTTTCATTACCCTAAGAAAATCTTCCCTAAGTTTTACAAGAAAGAATTGTTTTCCAAATACTCTTTTATTTGTGGACACAATTTTTGTTATTCGTGCTTTAAAAAGTTATTACCCCGCACCATAACGTCTAGTTTTCAAAAATCTGACCACTTTTTTAGAATTATGACTTTAGAACTTTATTGTTTATTTGCAAAATTAATGTTTGAGTAATACTAAAATGATTTTTTATAACTTTGACCTAATGATTAGCTATTTGGTTTGTTCTTGAGTTTATTTTGAGTAATCACAGGTCCTTAAGAGTATAATTACCTACAATATGAATTCTCTATGTTGTCCCAAAGAGAGAGGAGTCTAGCCAAAGACACTAAAGCAGGGCAGCTAACTGGGAGGCAACCCAGATATTTAAACTTTTACTTTTATGCATTCTATTTACCTTCTTCTTTTCTTTTATTCTCATCCTTACTTGCACTTTGTCTGCCTTGCATGCTTAATTGCCATATTTTATGATCTCCTTCCTTACATTCTTGCATCTGTTTTATTGTTTTTCATGTTTCTTGTTGTTAATTGTTTCATCTTGTATGTGCATAAGTTCATCATTTTTATATCATTTACATGCATTGAGGATACTGCATGATTTAAGTGTGAGGGGGACGCTTTCTGCATTTAATTATGCATATTTTTTTTAAAAAAATATTTTGCATGTTTGTTATACACATACTAGACAAAAGGTATTTCATGTCAAATTTAGCATTTTAGATGCAATTTGGTTATAAAGAAAAATTAAAATTTTTTAAAATTTTTAAAGAAAACAATAATCTTACACATAAAAATCTATATAAGAAAAAGAGAATTTCAAGAAAAAATTGGAGTTCAAAATCAATTTTTTAATCTTTTAGCACTCTTAAGTGTTTGCATTTTTTGCATTAAATTGAAATTAATTTTGTAACAAGTATGTTTGAATTTCTTTAAAAAAGTGTTAAACTTTAAATCATTTCTTTTACGTCAAATCTATTCGGAACTTGTTTTTGTAAAATTTCATACCTTTTAATTAGTTAAGTTTAATGTGCACAATTTATTTAGAAATACATGGAGCAATTTTCTAACTTTTTTGTCCCAAGCTACTATTCAAGTAAAGTTAATCTTTTGAAAATCTTTTTTGTTTTCTAAATTTTGGTTATCTACATATTATCAAGATGTTGGAAAAATAAATATATATACTGGAACACCATCTTAGGTTGGAGTGGGTGGCACGACACCTTTGTCCCCTTAAGCAACAAATCCCAAAAGGAAGTGGTGTTGTATATGAACAGAACCTAAGTTGGAAGAGCAAACCCCGTTGTTGGGTTATGGAACCCGGGGGCCTAGGTAACTAGGCGGAAGAGTATCGAACTAAGTATGAGTGCACGAAAATATGGGGTCAAGTAAACCGAGAATGGTATTGTGCTAGTAAGAATAATACTTAGAACGTAAGTCCCCCTTTCCCTTAGAAGGGAAGAGGTTTATATACAAGTTACAGCTAGGGTTACGACCGTTGATTCGTAATCCAACGGTCTGGGCCCACTAAGATTGGGTTGTTCACTGGCGGCGTCCAACCACATAATTATCCCTAGGACTGCTATACAAAGTAGGTTACAAGTAGGGTGGCTATAGCAACTCTGCCAGAGGCATAGCAGGAGTCTAATCGTGGGCCCCTTGATCCTGACTACGCCAGCTCCCTTGTCTGTGTCTGGTCTGTCGCTGCTTATGGCCAAGGCCGAGCGCCTGACCTGTCTTCGGAAGCCTCTGGATGAAAGGCCGGCCGCGGTTGCTCCGAGGATGACCAACCCTGCCTGGGCCGAGTGCGTCGTACTGCCGAGGCGATCTTCGCTAGTCTTTGTCCTGGTTCCGCCAAGTGGGCCTTGGCGAAGTTGGGCTGGGCCGTCTTCCTGCTGGGCTGGATACCCCCATTCCCGGGTATCCATCATGAGTCCCCTACTTCCTCGGCTGAGCGCAGCGAGGCCGAGGGAAGTAATCCAACAGTTGGGATTTCGAATTTTTTGATTTTCAAATTTTGAAAATCTTGGCCATGTGTAGGAGTCCCCCGCTGCCCAAGTCGAGTACTGACGAGGGTTGGGGAGTGTTCCAACTGGCGAGATTTACACGTGTCTCCTCGATTCTTAGGAGCATGATTGTACTGCTTGGGAGACGCAACGTCTCTGTACTGTCCCCTTGTCAACCGTTCATAATGATTCGCGATCCTACGCGTAAGGAAGCGCCACGTCTCTTCGTAATCATGCCTTTTCATCGAGTCGGGTCGGGTCCCTTCAACATATAAAATTGAGAATTTTCCCAATCTTCTCCACTTTTGCCATTTTTTGCGCCGCAGCTCTGCCGTTGATTTCGTTCACCATCCCCGTTCGCTTCCGTCGCCGTCGTAGTCCAATTTGAAGGTTAGTTCCCTCTTCCCCGTTCTCATGGCGTCTTCTGATTCCAATCCTTCCACTCCCGCTGTCGACCCAGCGGTGGTTTGTTTTGAAGAAATGTACCGTCACGATCCCTCCCTCCGCCCCGACGGCTTGATGGGAGGAATTGACCACTCTAGGGTTCTGAGCGCGGTGCCTGTTCATACGTCTGTCACCGTGGCGTCATCGTCCCGGGCACCGCCCTCGAAAAAGAAGAAGAAGAAATCGAAAGTTGTCAAGGGGAAGAACCCGAAATCCTTACCCGTTACCGTGTTGGAAACGGGTCCGATTACGAACACGGGTTGTCTTCTGTTGGATATTGACTTTAACGAGGCTCTCCGCTTTGTGGGAGACGGTTACACAGTGCGCCGACCACACACAACCAACCATGTTTTCTCTGTGACCTGTCCCGACGCCGAGGTTGGGGTGCACGTGGCGTCAATGCGCTACGGCCTTCGCTTCCCTCCTCACGACTTGATAGTCCAATTCTTGAATTTCTACCGTTTGTTGCCGGGTCAGCTCAGCCCCCACTCCTACTATTGCTTCTCAATCTTCCTGATTAAATGTCATAAGAAGGGAGTCCCCTGGTCCTTAGACCTGTTCCGTTACATGTTCAAGGTTTCCAAAGTGGGGGCCAATGAAGGGAATTCCTATGCTGTTGTCTCTTCCCAGGCCGACTTTGGTATGGCCGTCTTCCCTTCATCCCTGAAACTTTGGAAGGCCAAGTTTGTCTTCATTTCTGGCTTTCCCAGGGACCGGCACCCTTTCCACGCCAGGTTTCCCGAATGTCACACGTTTATTCGTCATCCTCGTCCTGCGGCCACTCCCGAGCTTCAGGCGCACGCACAAAAACTGTTGGAAGATTGCCAGCCTAAACCACCCCACGTGTACACGGTGTGCACGGAGCAGAACCTAGCAGAGGTGGGAATCCTTATCTCCCTTGATCGTCAGTTCGAGTTATCCGAAGCCGTGCTCGGGAGTCGTCCGAAGCATGGGCTTGAGGAGAGTGCCCCGAGGTCGGAGGATTTAGAGTCGGAGGACAACGAAAGGGAAGATGACGGGGAAGCCGGAACCGTCGAAGAATCAGGGCAGCCGTCCTACTCCGAGGGGTTTGCTGGTACGGAGCCCGCTGGAGGTCTCTCCCTTACATCAAGGTTTTCCTATTTGGTGCCAAACTTTCTAACTGTTGTTTCGTTCTGGCAGGGGATATGAATCCGGTGGAGGTTATCCGCAAGGCCAAACTGTTGGCCCGGAATCGCAGCGGAGGAGAAGGGGTTCAACAAAAACCACCATCCGAGGATGCATCTGGATCTGCTGCTCCCGTTCCGAACTTGGAGATGATTCCGGCTCGAAATCAGAGGAAAAGGAAAGTCATCCAAGTCGAGGATGAAGATACCGCGTCCGAGCAGGATACGGTTCCGAACCAGCTTCCGTTGAGCAAACGGCCGACTGGTCCCCAGGATGGGAAGTGCCCCACTACCTTTGACAAAGCTGATGGGGATGTGAATGCCGAGACCGAGGTCGCATCTCTGTCCGCGGTGTTGAAGGATGAGGACGAGGTCCTCTCGTCCCTGCAAGGCCTGGTGGATGGATTCCACAAAAAGGTTAGCCTCCTAGTACCTTAAATTCTTTGCTTTATTAGATAACTGACTTGATCTGTTTTAGGTGTCCGCGAAATTGAGCTCAATCAGCAAACGCCGGGCCGGGGCCGAATTCTCCTCAGGCGTGAATTTCCTGGCTTCGGTGGAAACAGAGTTATCCCGCCTACGGAAATCGGTGGAAGCCGAGCGCGAACGAGCCGTCGAGCTTGAAATGCAAGCCGTGGCGAAGCCCGAGGAGGTGGTCCGGCTGCAGGGCCTCCTGAAAGAGTCGGAGGAATCAACCTCACAACTGACGGCTTCAATGGCCGAGCTCGAGGGGCGACTGCGCCAGTCCGACGGCCGGATCTCCGAGCTGGATTTTGAACTGGCCGAAGCTGTCTCCGCGCAGCGGTCAGTGGAAATGGAGCGTGACCAGCTTCTTGCCGAGAGGGAGCAAGCCGTTGCTGCCGAGAAGGAGCGCGCCGTCTCTGACTTCCTTCAGTCCCCGTCCTTCAAAGAAACCTGCCTGGAGAGGATGACCGCTTATTACGAAGACTGGCTCAAGACCGAGGCCGGCACTGAGAAGATGGGAGTGGAAGGGATGAAGTGGTTCGAGAGCGGCGTCTATCATGGGATTCAGCTCGTCCTTCACCGGACCAGAAGAGTAGATCCGTCCTTCCCTCCGCCCGGGGTCGACATTCTAGAGATGCACGATCCCAGCCTTAACGCTAAACTCGGGGAGAATCCAGATTATCTTGGGACACCCGAGCATGAGGACGCGGTTGCGGATGAAGTCGGCGACGAGCTTCCCTCAAATGCCCTTCCTTAGTGTTTTCCTTGTAATGCTTGCAATTTTATTCTTTACTGTAATAAGGGTTTTGTCACTGTTTTGCTGCATGCGTGAATAGTTGAGTAGATTTCTGACATTATTTATTTGAATAAATTTGAATTGCGCCTTTTGAGGATCTGACTTTTTGGCTTTCCCACACAAACAGACCTAACCACTGGACTGTCGCTTTGTGCCAAACACGTGTCACTGCGCACAGTTCCACTTCTAACCACTGCGACTGTTCAATTCCCTTATCCCTTCGTTCATGGGCCTATAAATTGGCCCTCTCCTTGCATTGTGAAGTCCATCTCTTCATCCCATTTGTTAATCTCTTCATGGCTTCCAATAATTCCATGGAGACAGGTCCTCTGCCTTCCCCGCCGAAGACCAATCGCCGCCGTCCTCCTCCTCCGCCGGAGGACGCCGAATCTCGTACAAGTTCATGGTGGTACCGCGCAAAGAAGTTGGAAAGGCGCATCAAACGCCTCCGAAAACTCGTGGATTACCTTCACGGAGTTCCCCAACAGGCAGCGTCCCCGGTTGAGCCTGCTCAGCCAGCTGCTGATGCCATCCCCATGGGTGACAATCACCCGGAAGAGTCTGTCGGCTCTTCCTAAGTTTCCCTATTATGGCCCTCCCCTGTATATCTCCCCATGGAGGTTTGCCGAATTGGGGGGCCATCCACGTCCTTCGGTGCCCGGGCTTTGTCGGTCCCGAAGTCCATTGCGCCTTAGGACGGGGTAGCTCTACCTCCCTATGGATTTTAGACCCAGGGAAAAAGGAGGTCCATTGGGATGCAGAGCGTTTTTTGTTCTTTTCCTTTCTCAGTTCCGACGTGTAATAAATGCCGCCGGTGTTGCAACCGTAGCGTGTAGGGCTTGTAATAAATGTTGTAGCATTCGAGAACACCTTTGTAATGGAGTTTGACTTTGTGTGCAATGAATGTCTTTGTAATAAGCGCCCTGTGCTGATTATAAATATGATGCATTGTTCCTTTCTTTTACTTGCTTCTTCTTTTTTTTAATATGGCGTTAAGCCCTGGTACTCCTTCTCTTAAAGAGGGAACGTCCTTCATTCGGGCTACTCCAACTTGTTCTTTCCTTAAGGCAGATTCGTCTTTGCCTAGTTTCGCCACTGCTCCGACTGCGGTGGGGAAATGTACTTATCCCGATCTACCTTCTTTGAGCGAGGATTCCGTCCAAAGCCCTTTCCAAAGGGAACCAGATCTAACGGAGGTCGCACAGAAGTCTGGCCGTTTGGTGCGCAAGGTGGGGACGAATGTGCGTGCTTATCTCGCAGGCTTTCGTCGTGCCCACCGGAAGAAAACAACCAGTGTCGACCCCAAAGCGCAGTTTGTGTCTGATCATGATGCTTCCTCCGTAGACTCTTCATTTTCTGAAGAGATAAATGTGTACTTTGACCATTCGGGAAATAACGCTTCACGTTCTTGTGCCTGAATTATGATGTATTGCCGCTTTGGGCGAATTTTGTGTAATAGAATTGCCTGCATTTCGCCTCTCTTTTTTTTACACCCCAGAGGGTTCTTTTGCGCTCACGCCCTCAGCAGGGCGGCGAAAGGTGTGTCCTCAGCAGGACTAGGGGTCGTGGAAGACATCCTAAGCAGGATTGCAAGTTTTTTGTCCTAAGCAGGACCTTGCGCTGCCCTCTGTGCTACTAACAAGTTGTGCCCATTCGGACCTTGTTCTTCGTCTCGTTCAGAGCGCCAATTCCCCGGGTTAAGCCGTGCGGATGGGCTCCCCCCCTGAAGGGACACTCGGCAATAGGTATTGTCGAGTGGCGAGACGGTTAAAATTCGTTTCTCGGGGTGTGTGTGGGAGCACAAAGGGACTTAGTTCGCGTATAGCGAAAGACCGCGTGAGGCCATGAAAATCGTGGCGTGGGAGCCCGATATCGCTAAGCAGTGTTTATAAATTGCTTAAAGCAAAACGGAATTCGCGTGGAAGCGAGTATTTCATTAAGGAGTTTTTTTAGCTACCGAGGCCGACTGGTTACGGTTCTCAGTGCCTTACATGTAAAAAGAAATGAGATTGTGCGTGTTCCAGTGCCTGCCGAGTTCGCGACCTTCAAGCGTTGAGAGCTTGTAGGTGCCCGGCCGGAGCACGGCTATGACCTTGTACGGCCCTTCATAGCTTTTGGCAAACTTTCCCCCTTCTGTAGGCTGATTGGCTTCCCTTTTCCTGAGTACCAAGTCCCCTACTCAGAATTCCCTTGCTCTGACTTTGCGGTCGTAATATTCTTTTACCTGCCTTCGGTAGTTCTCTGCTTTGAGAAAAGCTTGCTCCCGGCGTTCTTCAACGAAGTTGAGATCGGCCTCCATGGTTTCCTCGTTCTCCTTGGCTTCATAGTTCTCTTCTCTCTATGTTGGAATGAACACCTCCGAGGGTGCTCTCGCTTCCAGACCGTAGCACAAGGAAAACGGCGTCTCTCCAGTTGCCCTCCTCGGAGTGGTACGATATGCCCACAGCACGTTGGGGAGTTGGTCCACCCATGCTCCCTTGTAGGATTTAAGCCTTTTCTTGATCGCGTCCATGATTGTTCGATTGGCGTTCTCTACTTGGCCGTTCCCTTGCGGGTAGGCCACAGAGCTGTAGGTGTGCCTTATCTTCCAATCTCCCAAAAGTTCGTTGAAATCTCCAGCTTCGAATTGGGTTCCGTTGTCTGTAGTGATTTGCTTTGGGACACCGTACCGGCAGAGTATGTTGTTGTTCACAAACCTTGAGCATTGTTCTGAAGTTCCTCCCACTAAAGGCTCGGCCTCGATCCACTTTGTGAAGTAATCGATGGCCACAATGATCCAGCGGAAATTTCCAGGTGCCCTCGGCATCAGTCCGATCAAGTCTATCCCCTAATGAGCAAAGGGGATTGACGAGCTAATGGGGTGATAGCTGGTTCCTGGTCTCCACGGAATGTTTTGGAAAACTTGGCATACCTTGCAACACTTGGCGCGCCTGGCACAGTCCTTCACCATGGTCGGCCAGAAATATCCCTGCAGGACAATGCGTCTGGCCATGGAGAAAGGACCTTGATGTGCCGCGCATATTCCTTCGTGGACCTCTTCCATGATTTGCCCGGCTCTGGCTTCGTCAACACATCTCAGCAATGTGCCGTTGTATGATCTCTTGTATAGCCCGCCGTTCTCAATGACATACGTCGGTGCCCTCCGTTTGATCAGACGGGCCGTCGTCTCGTCGCCGGGGAGGACTCCATCCTTCTTATACCGGATCAAGTCCGCGATCCATCCGCTGGCCTCCTCGGTGACGATAGAGACGAGCTGAACGTGAATGCTTGGAGACCCCAGGTCTTCAATGTGAGCCATCTTGGAGATGTGTTCAGGGCTGTCGTTGCTCAGTTTGGAGAGGACGTCGGCCTCGGTGTTTTCCGCCCTCGGGATCTGCACGTGCTCGTATCCTTTAAGGATTTTGAGCAACTCCAGGGCCGCCTCCTTGTATAGGCGCATCCGTTCCTCCTTGGTGTCGAACTCTCCTTTGATTTGGCTGACAACCAGGCGCGAATCGCACCTGATCCTGACGTACTCGGCCTTCAGGTTGAGGATGAGCCTCAGTCCGCTCAGTAATGCTTCATACTCGGCTTCGTTATTGGACACCTTGAACTGGAATTTTATTGCATGATAGGAGCGGAATCCTTCAGGTGATTGGATTACCACGCCCCCACCGCAAGCCTTTGCAGCTAACGATCCATCAGTAGATAAAGTCCACCATTCTCCCTGCTCCGCCACGGGCATGGGGTTGTTGTCACGTGCCGTACATTCTACCATGAAATCGGCCAAGGCCTGGGCTTTGATTGCTGCCCTCGGCTTCATCTCTATTTGGTACTGATTCAGATAGACAGACCACTTGATGACCTGTTAGAGGCCGTCGGGTTCCTGATGACGATGCTCAGAGGTTGATGACTCCTCACTTCCACTTCGTGGGCTTGGAAGTAATGGTTCAGCTTCTTGACCGTGTTGACAACGACCAATATTGTTTTTTCCAACACCGAGTATCTGAGCTCGGCATCCCTCAAGGTTCTGCTGACATAATAGATGGGGCGTTGAGTGTCCCCTTCTTCTCGTAACAAGATGGAGCTTATGGCTCCCGGGCTAACTCCCAAGTAAAGGTACAGCTTCTCGCCCTTGACCGGCTTTGCTAATACCTGCGGGGTTAGTAAATACTTCTTCAATTCCTCGAATGCCGCCTGGCACTCGGGTGTCCACTGGAATTGTGGAACCTTCTTCAGTGTGCCGAAGAAAGGGATGCTTTTCTCGGCGGATTTTGACAAAAATCGCCCGAGTGCGGCCATCTTCCCCGTTAAGCGCTGCACTTCTTTTATGGAGCGGGGGGCCTCCATATCTAGAATCGCCTTGACCTTTTCGGGGTTGGGCTCAATACCTCGCCGGCTCACGAGATATCCTAAGAACTTGCCACCTTCTACACCAAATGTACATTTTTTGGGGGTTAAGACGTAAATTGAACTTGCGCATAATAGAAAAAACCTGGGATAGATCCTCCGCATGGTCGGAAGCCTGCTTGCTCTTGACGATCATGTCGTCCACATATGCTGCCATTGTCTTTCCCAAGACCGAGTGGAACACCCGGCTGACCATCCTTGTATACGTGGCTCCGTTGTTCTTTAGCCCGAACGCCATCACCAAATAGTAATACACCCCCTCCGGGGTGAGGAATGCCGTCTTCTCAGCATCTTCTTCGTGCATGAACACTTGATGATATCCTCTGAATGCATCCATGAAAGACATGACCTCGCACCCGGCCGTTTTGTCGATCATCTGATCAATGTTGGGCAAAGGGATGGGGTCCATAGGACAAGCTCGGTTTAGGTCAGTGTAATCCACACACATTCTAAACGTCTGCCCCTTCGGTGCCAGCACGACGTTGGCCAGCCAGGTGGGGTATTTGATCTCCTTGACATGCCCTACCGCTTGGAGCATGTCCACCTCCTTCTTTACGAAATCCCTCCGGTCTTTGCTCAAGTGTCTCCTTCTCTGCTTTACGGGCTCTACGTCCGATCCGACCGCAAGGCGGTGGGTGATCAGGGATTTGCTCACTCCCGGCATATCCTCGACACTCCATACAAACACCATGAAGTTCTCCCTGAGTACTTGTATGATCTTCGACCGAAGCTCGGCACTAATGTTAATACCGAGCTTGATCTTTTTCTCCTGGTGCTTCTCCATTATCACCACATCTTTCGTATCCTCGGCTGGCTCAGCCCGAGGACAGCCTTCTTCTTCCTTCAAAAGTGCCGTGGCAATACTGTCCACTCTGAGATCCTGGGCGTCCATCTTCTTTGTCTGCTTCTGGTAGCAGAGTCGAGCAAGCTTCTGGTTTCCTCTGCACACTCCTACTCCTGAATCGGTAAGGAATTTCATGCTCAAATACTTCACCGATATCACGGAGTCGAGATCTTCCAGTGCAGGCCGACCCAAGATCAGATTATGGGATCCCAGAAGTCGTACCACCAAAAATTCGACCGGGATCGTCCTCTTGTGTTCTCCATCGCCGAAGGTGACCATCACCTCGACTAGGCCCTCTGAATCGATGATGTCCCCTGTGAATCCGGACAAGGGAGTCCTTACTCTCTTCAAGAGTTCCTTCTTCAATCCCAGCTCCTCAAATGTCCTTACATACATGATGCTCACCGAGCTCCCATTGTCAACGTAGGATCGGTGGATTACCACCTCGTTGATCTCACACCTGACGACCAAAGCGTCTCTGTGGGGTGATGGGATCTCAGGCAGATCCTTGGGACCAAATAGAAGGGGCTCTGTCTTCGTGATTTTCGACGGTCCAGGTGCGCTGTGAACATCTCCGACGTAGGCCGAGTGTACCCATTTCTTTCTTTGCTCGGCACTGTCTCCCCCGGTGTTGCCACCGTAGATCATTCGTAGATCATTCTGTTCTCCCCAACCCTCTTCTGTCTAGGGTTGTCTTCTTCTTCCTCGTCGCTCGGGAGACCTATCTCCTTCCTCTTCTTCTGCTGGGTTCCCGCCGACTTCTTCCCTCGGTTGTCCCCGTTCTTCTTCCCATCGTCCTTGCGCCATGTGTTCTTCTTTTTGATGAATTGTCACAAGTATCCCGCTTGGATCAAGTTCTCGATCTCTCTCTTCAGGACCTTGCACGCGTCCGTGTCATGACCGGCTGCTCTGTGAAACCTGCAATAAGGGCCCTCCCCGACAGTGCAGATCGGGGGAAAACGCGGATCGTACTCCACGAAGCCCTGATGCTCGGCGAAATCCAGAATGGCGCTTACGGGATGTGTAAGCGGCGTAAGCTCATCAGGGAACAACAACTTGGGACCTCTGGGGGGATAAGGTCTCTTGTCCTCGCCTCCTTCTTCGTATACATCCTTTCCATGCGATCGTCGGTCGCGTGGGTCTCTACCCTTCCGGAAGCGGTGTCCGACCGGCAAATGCGGTCGCTCATCAATGGTGACCTTCCTCGGCGTGGACTTTACCGCCGTCGCGATGGAACTAAGCCTTCCTGCTTCTTCCTTTTTCTTGTTTGCCTCCAGCTCCTCTGCTTCAGCTTGATCCTCCGCCATGGCCAGCACGATGGAATACTCCCTCGGCTTCTCCAAGGCTAGGCGTTTGGAGAAGTCACCTGATCGTAAGACCAAATGAAAAGTGGATAGCCTGGTTTTGTCATCCGCTCCGTAAACTCTGGTGGTTTCCAGCTTCCATCTTGCCAGGAATTCCCTCAGTGGCTCGTCAGGTCGTTGCCTGACCGACAGGAGATGTGAAAAATGTAATTTCTTCTTCCTGTTCCCGGCAAAATGAACCAAGAACCTTCGTGCCAAATCCTCCCATGAATCGATCTTCCCTTCGGGCAGTTCATTGAACCACTCAGACGCCACCCCGTCGAGAGTGGCGGGAAATGACCTACAAAGGACTTCCTCGGAGAACGTCACCACGTTCATGAGGGTTTGGTATCGGTTGAAATGCTCCTGCGGGTCTGTGGTCCCGTCATACCTAGGTATGGGTGGCATCTGAAAGCTGCTCGGCAGTGGTGCCCTCAAGATTCTTTCGGAGAAAGGAGAACGAAGTCTGAACACGGGTTCAGCAATTTGCCCTGTCCCGTTCCTCCTCTCTAGGGCGTCCAGCCTCTGCAAGAGGAGATTGATGCGTTCGTCCCCAGGTCTGCCCATGCCCCCGTCCATCGCGATAGGCGTCCCTTGCGGCGCTCTCAGAATCGGATATTGAACGGGTTGCTCGACCCGGGAATTTTGCCTTTCCGGGTGGACCTCTCTGTGTCAGTCACACTGTTCTTCGCAAGGCATCCTGATCTTCCCCGCTTCACTCTGCAGGAAAGTGTTCCGTCGGCCATACAGCCGCTCCGTGGCCGGCATTCGCATCTGGCTGAACACAGACACGTGCGACCACTACGCCAGAAACAGCATCAGACCACTGTTGATTCACTACTGTTTATGCAAACACAGTAGTTGAAAAAAAACAGACTACTGTAAGTTTTTCATAAGAACAGAACGGTAGTCTAGGTGGTATGCTTTAAAACTATTTTTCAAGTTTCGAGAAACGGTAATGTTTCATTAGTTGTCTGTCTCAGTTCAAGATACAGTTTTTTTTACAATAGTTGTCAATAAGAAGTTAAGAATACTCTATTTAAACAATAGTCTGGGTTGTTATTCTAGAACTGTTTTAAAATTTATTAGAAACAGTTATCTAACGTTTGTTGTCTGTTTCGTATGGGTTTTTTGCCACTGTTGTTTATAATAGGAATAGAAGACTCTTTTAGAACAATAGTCTATAAATTATAGGTAGAACTGTTTTTGAAGCTGTGAGAAACGGTCATCTATTATTAGTATTCGGCTTCGTAAAAAAATACAGTTTTTATTGCCACAGTTGTCAATAATTTGTTAAGACTACTATTTCTTAACAGAAGTCTGGTTTCCCAGTGTATAATTGTTTTTAAACTTATAAGAAATAGTATTGTATTACAAGTAGTGTGTGTCACACTATTTTTTTCACAGTTATCTATAATAAGTAAAGAAAACTATTTTTAAGAGAATTGTGCATATCAAGCCTAGAACTATTTTAAAAGTTAAGAATACTTGTTTTAAATAGTAGCCTAGCTTTTAAGCCTAAAACTATTTTAAAAGTTTGGAGATACGGTAATCTTTTTTACAATGAAAATGTATACGCTCTCTAACTTTACATTCATACTTTCACGCAAAATTTATACAACAATCAAAGAATCGTTGTTCCAAACAATTATACGGACATGAAAAAATAAACACTTCCATTGAGAGAAAAGAAAAAGTATATGGACAACACACAAAGAGAATTGGATGGGAACTTGGCGTCCTGGGTTTGGCATGGCAGCATCACCATAACCATCCACAATAGATTCATTGCATCACCTTTCAAAGCCTTCTTTTTCTTCTTTTCTTTATTACCCCCTGCTAGTTGGCTGTATGACTTGAAGTGGTGGCTTGA